GATTTTCTATCAGAAATATAGGAGAAGAGAAGAAAACCTGCTTGAAAAAATCCTTAAGACACCATACTTTCTGCTAGCTGATACCTGATGGGATATAACATATCTCTAGTCTACCTTTAAACAGTGACAGAAAAAAACTGAATCTATAAAACAAACAAGCTATGTGAAAGTACTAAAGTTTGTCAAAGAAAGAATCTCAGAAAATAGTGGCAGATTACATCCCCTCACAACAGGTCTAAAACAGATAATAGTAGACAATTTAGCATGAATCAATCAACAAAATCATGATCATGAAAATTGATTTGCTATCAAAACACACGGAAACTAGAAGGTGCATATATATAGCAATGTCAGACCTGTAAAGAAACTGAGCTGGACTATAAGGTGTCCGATCCCCGGAATAAACAGCTGAGAAAATTACACCAATATCACAAGCCAAACACGATTGATCTGATGATCTTTTCCTACAAGTTTCACGGTCGTGTCTCTCACTCAAGAAGTAATTCCTGAACGGTGGTGCATGGAGCAAAGCTTGCAAAATAGAATTCATGAAACAAGTACTGCCCAAATTATTCAATCCTCTTAATCCCAATGGATAGCACGATTTCGCCCTTCGACCCCTCATCCAAACAAAAAATTTAGACCTTATCAAATCCAAATCCACCACTGAATTCAACCTCCTCCTCTTGCTTGATCTCCTCATTAAATCATCAACAACACTATCACGTGTCTTACTTGGCATATCCACAATATTTTTAGCCACAACTACCTTATCAAAATCAAGGTCATAGACCTGATCCCTACAAGAACAACAATAAAGTTCTGATCTTTCAATGTCAACAGCTATATCATGGCCATTCTCAGATTGACTGTGCAAAAGGGTATGGTCTGAACAAGACGTTGAAGAACAAATCAGACACAGAAACAGTCTACCTTGACGAATCCCACTACAAAAACTGCATTTGGGCATCGTTGTTTCACACATTTTAATGCTTGTCTTTCCATTTGGAAAGGTTTTGAGCCATTTTTGAAGGAATTTGTATCCACTCAAGCCATGCCTCAGCTTATAATCTGCAAGATGCTTACAGGGTTTTGGGTTTGCAAACACAGAGCTCCTTGTTTCCATAAACAAAATACAGATGAAAGTTTTGATCTTTAACCAAAAAAACAAGAATTTATTAGATCAAATGGGCAGTCTCAATACATAAAAAAACAGTAACCTTGATGTTTTGGTTACAAAAAGACACAATCTTTAAATGAAACTAACAATAAGAGATACTATACTAAAGATCTAAGATTAGATTTGCAAGTTTGTTATCTTGATTTGATGAAAGAGAGGGACAAAGAGAGAGGGATGATGAATAAAGCAAAGCTTGGAGGACCTTTAGGGAAGTAACTTAGTAGAGAAGGGAAGAGGAGGGCTTTTCTTTTTCTTTTTCCTTTTCTTTTTCTCGATGAATAGACTAACCTTTTCATTTCTTTACGAAAGAAAAGGTTGTCTTGGCTCTGCTCTTTTGGAGGAATATGAACCGTTCATTTTGTTGATCAAGACAATCAAGAAAGTGGGTCAATGATGGAGCAGACTCTAAATGTCCATGGCTGCTTGCTTTTCTGGATGGTTAGGGTTTTTGTACATAGTTGTAGTATTTGCAAGCAAGGACTCATCTCAATGCTGCTTGATATTTAAGGATACGATCATTAACCTAAACTAAAGCCCAAGAAATGTATAGTATAGAATTGGAAGATAGTAATGCTCAGTAGAAGTTTCTTCTGAAAGTGAGAGCACAATGGCCTGTTACTGTTAGGTATTCGAGAGGCCAACCGTGGGCCTGAGCATGGACCACAAACATCTCCAGCAGTCATGGAGGGAGGGAGAATGAACGAGCAAATATTTCTTTCATTTGTTGCACTTAGGCAGATTCATGAAAACACTACGCTTGATCTTGGTTGATTAAATGGAATGTTTACCATCTTGTTACTCCATCTCTTGATATCCCGAAATAAATAATCATCTTGATGAAACCTTTTCTCTTGTTTTTTTTGGAACAAATGACTCCATAAAAAATCTAAATTATTAGAATTCACGAGTAATAAAATAAATCATAATGGACACTAATGCAAAGGTTATTTAACAAAAGGCTTTACATAAATGTAAGAAACAAGCACAAAACTATGCTTGACTTGGTTTTGTTGATATATATATATATAAAAGCTTAGATGCTAAGTTATTGAATTAATTCATGAGTCAATCGTGTCAATAATTTTTATTAAAAATATATTATTTATTCATTCCATTTTTTTAAAAAAATTATTAATATTAATTTCATCCATGTGTGTTTAACTAGGAGGGTAATGTCTATGCTAAGTTCAACTCAAGCGTGCCTTGCACTTATGTGCTAAGTTTTAAAAGTATAATATATTCTTTACAAGGACAGGGTTTAAAAGAAGCTTTTTACACATTATGAAAAGGAGTCATGGGATGAGAAACCATGTGGCTATGAGCAGAAAAGGAAATGTTGATATAATTGACAAAGAGTGACCGTAATTCTCATTCATGGAGGATATTCTTTCCAAGTACACGATTTAAAAGCTGTTTTTTTTTTTTGTTCTTACATTACTTGTGGATATGTCACAAAAGAACCAAAGTGAAATCATCCATCTGTAAAAAGAGAAACGCGTCGACAGCAGGGTTCGAACCTGCGCGGGCGAAGCCCAACAGATTTCAAGTCTGTCTCCTTAACCACTCGGACATATCGACGTGTTGATGGGTCTGCTTGGATACCTGCTATTGACCTATTTGAACCAGGAAAGAACTCTACCGTTAATGGGGGTTTGTCCGTTGTTTCCTCTTTCACATCTTTTCCCCTTCATTCCTTCCTGGAAATGCACTAGCCTCATTGGAATGTAGTTGACAACTTTCAATGAAGAATTTGAAGAGGATCTTGGTAGGAACCAGGACATCAGGCATTGCAAGAACTTGGGAGGAATTAGTTGAGAGTAACGAGAGGCACTTCTCTCAAAGTGATGGTCTCAAGTTCAGATCTCATGTAGAAGGAATTTATTTGTCTAGGGAAATTCTTGTTTACTTCACTAATCCTTCACACCTTAGTTCAGTGTTCAATCTTCTGTGTAGCAGTACATCTAGTGAAAGTAAAAGAACCCCAAGTTCCATGCAAGCCTGAAACGCTGTCAAGGAGTTGATCTATTGATCATTTATCAAACCTCTTCACATGAATTGCACTCTTTCAAAAAACTACGAAAAAACACAGAATAATCTTTGTTATTCAACCAACTATGATACATCAAGAAAACATAGCCATCAATTGGCTGGGTTAGGAACCCTAGTATTCATCTATCCATACAACAAGGTACAGGCAAAAAGGCAATGACTCGGCAAAGCTTCAGTCCTAGAGATACCAAGAAACAAGCAAACCTCACAATGAACCCAAGTTGCGGGGAAAAGTGCATGTCAGCAGCAACTCAAAGTAGAAGATCAGTATCAAGAAAGTACTCCAAATCCAAAGCTAGTTATTCATCCATCAATCGATTTTCCATGGATTATTAGCATAGACATCACCCTCCTAGCGTAAACCAACCAAACAGCAAAACGTACCAGTCAACACAATAAGATACATACACCTACAAGCAAATGACAGCTAGGAACTCGAGAAACAAGACGTCCAACAGCAGGGAACATGGATTTCTCTTAGTCATTAAAGCCTTCTAGAGTAGGGAAGAAGTCTTCCTCCTAAGAATCCAAATTCTCATGTGCCAGTTTAAATCACTTGGTCCACTACCAAGTACCATGCAAGTCACCCTCAGATAAATTCAAATATTAATTAATAATTTCAACTTCTTCTACTACTTGAAGATAAGCTCAAAAGACATAGGAGGTTCCTCCTATGCTTTCATCGATGTACTAGCCCTTAAAATCAGACATCAATGCTTAAATTGTTTCCAGTGAAAATAGCTGCACCAAGCACTAAAAATCTGTGGCAGAACTCTCTGGGGACACTGATAAGAATGTTCCTTGTCAGTAGTCTGTTCATCCTAAAAAAGGTTATAAATCAAGTTTAAAACAGTCAGCACATCACCAAAATCTATACACTCCGTCTCCGTACATTTTTGTTCATTGCCCTCATCTTCTTTACAAAGTTTGGGAAAATCTAACTTCAAATGCACTTAAGAATTTTGGTTCATTAAAACAAAGGAGAATATGCTAGCAGTTAAGTAACCATATTCATCCATCCATTCTTTCATGAATTATTAGCATCGACACAACCACCCTTGCCTAAACAAACAAAAACGGCGAAAAATACCAGCCACCACAGTGAAATGCACAAGCACAGGAGCAAATAAAAGCTAGGAACTGAAGAAATAAGACATCCAAAAACAGGGTAGTTGGCTTTCGCTTAGTCATTAAAGCCTTCAAGAGTAGGGGTTAAGTCTTCATCCTTAGATCCCCAAATCTCATATGCTAAATCACTTAATAAAAGAGTCTACTACCAAGTTCCAAGTCACCTTCAGATCACCTCAAACACTAATTAAAAGTTTCTATTTCTGGCATTCACAAATGCACGAGTTCTCAAAATCATACATCACCACTTGCATAAATTTTTGCCATTTTAAGATAGCAGCACCACGCTAGAAAGCTATGTGCCAGAACTTTCTGTGGGAAACATATAAGAATGTTCCTTATTAGTAGTTATTTCATCCTTCAAAAGGCTAAAAGCCATGTTTAAAAAGCTATAACACATCAAAAAAATCAATCGGAATACTTCCCACAAGCCAATTTTTGTGAAGTATAACCCGTTTTTCAATGTACAAATATCTATGCACTCCATCTCCATTCATGTTGGGTCGCTACCTTTTTCTTTACAGATACTGGGAAAATCTAATTTCAATTACATGTGATGGTTCATTCATATCTAGTTAAATAACAAAGCAAGAAACTTTTACAACAAAACTAAAAATTAGTAAAACTTCCTAGTTCAATAACATGAACTAAATCATTGATGAAAACGGACAATATTATACGTTGCACTTCCTAATAGATCTTCCAATCAAATATTTTCCTATTCAAAGCACACACGCGTTATTTCAACTTCTAGCATTCTTTCACGCCTACAAACAGCCACGTCTGCCAACACCCCAAAAGCATTCTTTCCACTCCCTCAATTGTCTATAACAGGCTAAGCAAGGGCTGCATTGAATCAGTAAAAGCACACAGCAGGGAACAAACAAAACAATCTCCACAAGATGAACAAAATCAAGTTGCATAGAACAAAATTTATTGCAAGCAAGTAAAAGAAAACCAATTAAAACTATCAAAAGCGCCCTGGTACAGCATGGCTAATAGCCCTAAAACAACATAATTTCTACAGTAGATCATTAACCAAACACAAAAATCTCAATTCCACACAACCCAGATTTATTCATTAATCCCCAAATTCAACACATTATTATACATTCACACAGCCTTCACTATCCAAACCCAACAAAAACATCATAACCCACAATCTCTTACAAAAGTCATATGATCCATTATTGCAAAACACAAATAGACCACACTAAACACATAAAACTCCAGACTTTTTAAGACACGACACGACCAACAACAGGGTACTTGGCCTCAAACTTCTTTTCCCAGTCATCAAGCACACCAATCTCTTTCTCAGTAAGCCCATGTAATGAAGACGAGATGTCTTCATCATTTTTACTCATTTTAGCTAAAGCCCTGCTTGCATCTTTGCCTGCAAACATTACATAAGAACCACCTGGTCCATAAAAGCTTTTGCCTGTCGTCACATCAAAGACTCGTCCTTTGATTGCTACGTAGATGGGTTTGGAAGGGTCCGTGCCATTGTATTGAAGAAGTTGATCTGCTGTGAAATCCATTGACGGGTTTTGGTTTGTGAGAGCGAGAGAGACAGGGACAAGGGCAGTGAGTGAGTGAGCTGCCGGTGATCTGCCATCTGGGGTTAGTTTTTAACCACACGTTATTTTTTGGATGTCAAACACTGACAGGTTTTGAGTTGCAAAAGGAACTAGCGTGTTTTCCATTAACCAATTATAACATTCGGCTCGTGCCCTGAGCAGGATCAATGCTCGTGTCAGGGTTGGGTGAGTCAATTTATTGAATAGTGTTGACCCATTTTTTTTTAAAAAAAATTGTCTAAAAAAATGTTACTTTGGATAAGTTTTTTGAAAATATTGATAATCTCTCACTCAAGTTTTGAAAAAAACCTATCGAGTCAACTAACTAAATTTCATAGATCAATTCTCTAAATAACTTAAAATTAAACTATTTTAAGTTTGTAATGTTAAGTCACCGAGTCGGGCCGACAAGCAAGCAAATGTCTGACCACAAAACAAAATCAACAGAAATTTGTCATAGAAATTTCTAAATCTCAGTGAAAGCTGGTCATGTAGTAAGCTTTGAAAATTTTCGATATTCATCTTACGAAGTTTTCCGAGTGTTTTTGTAATAATCTGGGATGGTATGAGCTAACTTTGATCCTAGCCACACCAACTAGCATTTCATAATAAGATTTTTCTAGTTGAAGAAAAAGCTGCTGTGTGATTTCATGGCTTCTATGAGAGAGAAGATTGTGAGCTAAACATGCCATCCAAACAGCAATGGAGAATTACAGATGCTCAAAAAGTCCATCTGTTTTCAATTTCTTGCGCTCAGTATTTCTTCATTTATGGAAGACAGGACTAGTTAACACATTTGATGACATCCAGATAATGTTATGTTTGATTAATGTCTCCTAGCAAAATGAGACAAATATATATATATATATATATATATAAGAGATAAAAACATATTTGATTAAAAAAACAAAAACAAAAACATAAAATAAATATATTTTCAAGACAATTTTAAATTGATTTTCCATAATTTCAAAATAATAATCACATGAAAACATGTCTTTTCTATCCCTATTGCCCTCATCTCTTCTGTGTGCCGAGATAATAACCACACGCTAATGCAACAAAATTTGTCACAAGCACTGCTTAAAACCTTATGTTTAATAGAAATAATAAACTTGAGTGTTAGCAAAAAGGACTATTAGTCTATTAACTCTCAAGTTCAATAATCATCTATACAGTATGTCATAGGGACTTCTGCATTACAACAAACCCAATCCTGTTAATGTCTACATGATTTAAGAACTTTAAAACAATATAAATGGTATCATTGTCCATGGTGACCACACCCACGAGTAACAGGCCACGCCCAAGAATAGATCCAAATCTGGTCTGACTTTGGGAAGTTCTTTGTTCCAACCTGTCTTCTTGCCCGCAGAAGGTAAATGATCTCAAAGAAGCACATTAGAGCAGAGGAACACCACCACCTGAATATTCGACCTCCTGAAAATTAAACAAGCAAACGAATATTAGTAGGGTTCCTAGTCCTCAAGAAGAAACTCCGAAAACACTTGTGCTTACGAAATTCATGACATAGAAAGTTTTAAACTAAATAGCTAAGTCTTAGCTAATGTGCAATTTAAAGGCAATTATAGAATCTCTTCACAGTGTGAATATTCTCAGATAAACTACAAAACCCTGGTTTGCAGAAGAAAGAGCAAGTCATAAAAATTGTCAAGAAATCATTAGAAAGAATCACAAATAGTTGGCCCTTGAGATCATTAATGGAGGATATACCCAGTAGTGGCAGTGTCCGGTAGACATTGCAAAAAAAAAGAAATACAAAGCATAAGATTGTTTTGAACTCTTAGAACCCATCTACAGAGCTTGAGTAAGCCATGTAATCCCCTTTCTCCTTGGTTTTCTTATTTTAGTCTAAAAGGTTTCCTAATAGGTTTTATCCTGTATTTTTTTCCTTGTAGAAAGTTAAAATAACTACAAATTCAAGTCAGTACCTCAAGTATGTATAGAGAGAATAGTGATACCATCCCATGAATGGAGACAGACAACAATACTAGCTAACAATTTTGCAGAATCCTTGTCCTAGTAAAAATTAAGAATTATTCTATATATTTTATCAAACCACTGAAGCCATACATTGCAAGGGGGCGATTTAATACAAAGGTCACCTTTTACTCCAACCAGAAGTTGTTTACCATGCAATATAAGAACATGCAAACAAATTATAACACATGAAAGGAAGATCAAATGCAAGTTCTGTCATTTTTTTTCTAAAGTGCTCAGTTGCAGGTTGAAATCATTGCGAAGAAGAAATGAACCTTAGCAGGGGGTAGGGATGAAACCCAGTCTGATGCGTGTGTTGGAAAAAAGGACTAATAGTCTATTACCTCTCAAGTTCAATAATCATCTATACAGCATGTCATAGGGACTTCTGCATTACAACAAACCCAATCCTGTTAATGTTTACATGGTTTAAGAACTTTAAAACAATCTAAATGGTATCATTGTCCATGGTGACCACACCCACGAGTAACAGGCCACGCCCAAGAATAGATCCAAATCTGGTCTGACTTTGGGAAGTTCTTTGTTCCAAGTTGTCTTCTTGCCCACAGAAGGTAAATGATCTCAAAGAAGCACATTAGAGCAGAGGAACACCACCACCTGAATATTCGACCTCCTGAAAATTAAACAAGCAAACGAATATTAGTAAGGTTCCTGGTCCTGGAGAAGAAACTCCGAAAACACTTGTGCTTACAAAATTCATGACACAGAAAGTTTTGAACTAAATAGCTAAGTCTTAGTTAATGTGCGATTTAAAGGCAATTATAGAATCTCTTCACAATGTGAAAATTCTCAGATAAACTACAAAACCCTGGTTTGCAGAACGAAAGGGCAAATCATAAAAATTGTCAAGAAATCATTAGAAAGAATCACAAATCATTGGCCCTTGAGATCATTAGTGGAGGATATACCCAGTAGTGGCAGTGTCCGGTAGACATTGCTAAAAAAAAAGAAATACAAAGCATAAGATTGTTTTGAACTCTTAGAACCCATCTACAGAGCTTGAGGAAGCCATTTAATCCCCTTTCTCCTTGGTTTTCTTATTTTAGTCTAACAGGTTTCCTAATATGTTTTATCCTGTATTTTTTTCCTTGTTGAAAGTAAAAATAACTACTAATTCAAGTCAATACCTCAAGTATGTATAGAGAGAATAGTGATACCATCCCATGAACGGAGACAGAAAACAATACTAGGTAACAATTTTGCAGAATCCTTGTCCTAGTAAAAATTAAGAATTATTCTACATATTTATCAAACCACTGGAGCCATACATTGCAAGGGGGCAATTTAATACAAAGCTCACCTTTTACTCCAACCAGAAGTTGTTTACCACGCAATATAAGAACATGCAAACAAATTATAACACATGAAAGGAAGATAAAATGCAAGTTCTGTCATTTTTTTTCTAAAGTGCTCAGTTGCAAGTTGAAATCATTGCGAAGAAGAAATGAACCTTAGCAGGGGGCAGGGATGAAACCCAGTCTGATGCGTGTGTTGGAAGAAGCCCCAATGTGTTAAGCTGCCAGAAATTGAACATGAAACAAATCGTTAGATATCCTTGCTTCAAATTTTCTTTTTTCTTTTTCTTTCTTGAAGTGCAATGAACTTAAGAGAGACGGGGAAAATGCATCTTACCTTCCAAATACCCAATGCTAAACCACCCAAATTTAGGGCAATAAAGACTAACTTAGGTACAAGAAGATCCACTTTACTGTCTTTGTAAGGCTCGAAAACTGCAAACAAAACAAAACAAAATCTCAGATCAATGAACTTCAATACAAAAAAATGCAAATGCCAACTATCAAGGGAACAAATGTAATCCCTAATCACTCTAAGGCATGGTATAGCAGATGCTCATTATGGAAAGAACTACAAAGAAAAGACCACAAGTTACAAAAAACAGAACAAAGATACTTAAAAAACAAAAATCTGAAAGTTAAGAGCAGGGAAACTAATGAGTAGAGAAGAAGCTTCTAATTGACTTTCCCACGAAACGATCCAAATCCCATGTGCACATATCGAGCAGTTGATTAACAGTGATACAATCCCTTCTGTTCTTTACAAGAGGAAATAGGTAGCAAATATAGTGCCCTGATTCAGAAGTTGATAAAAGTATGTACAGTATACTCTTTATGGGAGCAAGATAGGCAGCAAGAAATATGATACTGAGGGGAGAAAAGGGTGCTGGTTTGAATTTTGACAGGTATCTTGTATTGTTAGAGAAGTTCCCAGAGAGAGAGAGAGAGAGGTTTCGGAGAATGCCCGCCTAAATTTGTATCTTATCCTTATAAGAGGTTTGGCTGAATACCATGAATTATCCTGGCATGAAAAACTTGACCCTCCACTCTTCCCCACTAAAAAGACCCCACTCACCCTTTCTCTTCCTACGTTATTATTCTAAGAAAATGTAGGTTTAGAACAAGCAAAAAGCACATAAAACAGAGTAGTGACAAATTGAACTCAGGCCAGCTTACCCTTCCCAACTCCTTGAAGAGCTCCTATGGGCTGCCAAAGAGCCGAAAATGTAATCCCAATGCTAAATAGATGCACTGTATTTCCAGCCATCCACATCATGAAGCCCATCATTAGTAAATTCTTGAAGGGGGCTTGTGCCACTTCCCAAGCTTTCTGTTCACAATATAAAGATGATTACATTGTTAACAATATACATATTTGAAAACTTCAAAGAAAATTCAGAAACAAGTAAACGAAGGTAACATATGATAGACTAAGAAAACAGAGCTGAGGGAACTCTTAACAGCATGCAGGAAAAACATCACTCTTCTTCTTCAGTCCAGGTCAAAGAAAATTTCTTTGAGCAGCCAAATATGAAATATTTGTTTTGCATGTTTCAAGATTCAAAACAGTGTCTTTTAAGACCCCATAATTGCAACCATTCATCTCATGAAATCCCTTTCCCTTTCCATCATTCATCATTCACAAAAAAATCTCTCACCATTCCCACATGCACCCAACACCCCCCCTGTGTATAAGCCATTAAATTTAATTTTTTTACAACCATTGACTGACTATATAAACACCCCCCCCCCCCCCACCCCTATAAGCTATTAAATTTAATTTTTTTACAACCAATGACTGACTATATAAACATTATACGAGATTCAAAACAAATTCGTTAATTCAACAATCCCATTTTGCCACAAATTAAACCCTTTTTCAGACATCCATGAACTCACAAGACATCCTTCCAAGTCATTGTTATCATCAACACAACTATTAACAAAGTCAAAATCAGCAACCCAAAAAAGAATTCTGAAAGCAACCCTTTTTTCTTTTTACCTTTTATCCACCACTACCCATGAATAGAATATCAACTTTTACATTCAATCCCTACATGTTTCTAAATCTACTAAATAGAGCATTAATTAACAAAGGACAAGATTTTCACTTCCTCTATGCATATCAATTAATTCCTACAAGCCAATAAATCAATAGCAAAAATCCAAAATTTTTCTTAAAAAAAAGATAAAAATTTGAACAAAAAAAAACCTGAGCTTTCCAATTAGCTTCAGCATCCTTTTTTTGCTTGGTAACAGCCGAATCCTCCTGTAAAACACATCACCATCAAAAACCCACAAAAACTAACCACTAATCAAATCAAATCAAATCAATGGAGAGAGAAGGATTATGAGAACCGAACCTGATCTTGAGAGGCGCGAGAGAAGCCAGGAGGATCAGGGATATCACGAGAAGAAGTGAGTGTTGAATTGTCAGTGAAGTCAACGGCCCATCTTCTCCCTGACCCCATCACAGCTTTCCCCTTGTCCATAAGATTGGCTTTGCAAATTCAGTCAGGTTTCACTGATTTTTGTGTGATCTTGATTGATAATCCGGATCTCACAAAGAAGAGGAAGACAGGAACAGAAGTGGATGTCTATTGAGGAATGGAGTCTCGTAAGATAGCAATGGAAAACTATATATATGTCCTTATAGTTTCATTGATATTCTATTTATGTTTCAAGCATTTAAACCTTTTCAATAGTACCCCTATAATTT